TTTTTTTTTTCCATTTTCCTTTTTTATTTTCAGTCAACGTTTGGTTTGAAAAATAAATCCATAAAAAGTTCCGACAAATATAAACTCTTGAGGCGTTTTTTGTTTTTCTTTGATAAGAAACTTTTTACGAAAAAAAAAATATATATTTGAAATATAAAAAAAAAAAAAAATTATAAAAACATCTTTTTTTTTTTCTTTTAAATACGAATAAATCGGATCATTTTTAAAAAAAAAAAAAAAAAAATTTGATTAAAAAAAAATCCGATTTTAACTGAGCATTATTTACACATCGCAAACCAAGAAACAGGAAACAGTTCCGATTCCTGGAAAATAAACTCCGACCAGGAACGCGTCTTTTTTTTCCCAATTTTTGGAACAAAGACGTTGATCGATGCTCAGAGTTAGCGATCGACCGATCCCGATCGCGATCGATCGGTATCAATCAAAAAATCGTAATTGTCGATTAACCCTGGTTACCAATAAATACCAGATATTTCCCGCTTTTTTTTTTTTCAAAGTCTGACTGCGACGCTAAGCTAACCTAGCTGTTAGCTAAACCTGATGTTAGCAACTGATGTTTAAAGCGTACACAAAATCGGAAGTTCCGAATCACTGGTTTCCCAGAGAGAACCTCAGGCTAACGTCCATAATTTTTTAAATTTTTTTTACGTCGGGGAAAACTGCGAATCGAACGTCTAACTCTTAGCATCGGTTCCTGGTAACTCGGTATCTGCAGTCGTAGCATTGGCTTACAGTTTTTCGCGAAAACAAAAAAAAAAGACAAAAATATAAATCTGTACCACATTCAGTATCGTAAAGTATCCAGTGTTTGCGAACCCTTGAAGTTTGATCGTTAAAAAAAAAAAAAAACATCGCCCGTTTATCGTACTTCCCCGCGTGATGTTTTCGGACCGAAGACGATCGGGGTTTTTTTCCGGCAGCACCAGTGACCAGTGTCACGACAAAAAAAAAAAAAAAAAAAATATCGGATTTGACGACGGAATTCTTCCTCTTCTTAGACTCCGCCTCCTTTTCCGACGTCGAGTTTTTTTTCGCAGAAACTAAAACTGCAGTTTTTTTTTTTTTTTTTTTACAACAACCGACTCATTAAAGTGTGCACTGGTACTCGCTAGTACTCGCTAGTACTCGCCGGTACTCGCTGCTAGCCTTATTGGGGCGAGTTTTCGTAGGAATGAAACACCGACTTCCGCGCCTTGGGCGGCGGCGGCGGCGGCTTGCTCTCGATTTTCGTTGGCAGCGGGGGGGTGAACTGCGAAAAAAAATGAAAAAAAAAATATATAAATATATATAAAAATATATGCAAATATATATGCAAATATATGACATATATGTCGCCGAGAACCGTACGGTACCTCCGATTCTTGCGGGTGTCTCTTCGGAGGCATCGGAGGCGGCGGCGTGCCCGGCGTGTCGAGGGAACCGGCGGCGGCGACGGCGGCGGTGTTGTTGTCGCTAAGCAGCGGCGGGGAGGCTGTGGGGGGAGGAGAAGGGGG